TTTTTTTTTATGGCATAAGCCGGTAAACGAGCAGACGGATCACCTGATGGTAAGCAATCGGCGTCGCCCATGGACACCTGGAACACCAGAGGCGTTACAAGTGCGTTACCGGCCTTTTGGGGATTAGAAGTTTGAGGATCGTTGGGGATTCAGGAATTGGAGAGGGTAATTGGGCCTCCGGTAACCTCACTCACATGACGAAACACAACGCAAGCGTTGCTTCACGTCGGTTTTCTGTGAGGCCGTGGTATCACTCCGGTCGACTTTTTTACACACCGCAGTATCCTCCTATTTAACACATTTGAACGGACGTATTTTGAAGAAACAGAACCGTAAGTTTTAAGTTCGTACTCCTTACCCCCATACTCCATGATTACTAGGCAGAGGAACTCGATTCAACTGTGACGTCATTACTTACGTCATAGTAACAGAATTCGTTCAGGAAGTGATTATACAAAGTGATATTGATGTTTGATCCTATCTATTTATTGTTGGATGGTCCATTCCGTTTTATGTTGGTATTTGGTTTATGGATTTTAAGCTTAGAGTATTTAACCAAATTTTAAGGTAACTTGGGCTTTCGGAAATAGATTCAAATGAAAATGAAGCCAATATTATTGAATCTTCATATGAGTAGGTATGGCTACGAAAAATGTTAGTGATAGCGCAGTCTAGATTTGTGACCTTAACTTCTTACTTCAATAGGATTTATAATAAGAATGGGCAAACTTAAATTCACATATACTTATTTTAGGAATAAAACGTGTTTACTTCAAAATACACAAATCATTTCTAAGACATCACCTAAATAATATAATTTATAACATAACATCACGCCTTTTATCCCCGAAGGGGTAGGCAGACGTGCACATTACGACACTAAATGCCACGGTAGAATGTAACACCCACGTTTCACTATTTATGTTATGAGTCCCATGTGATAAGGGGTGAACCTATTGCCATATACCGGGCACAATTCGCGACTCTGTGCTGCTACTACTCAGAATTTTTTTAATACCCTGTAATACTTTGCCCGACCCAGGAATCGAACCCCGAGACCCTTTGCACGGCAGTCGCAATTGCAAACACTCGGCCAATGAGGCAGAAACACCTAAATAAGTACTCGCAAGTGATATTCTATGTCCACAAACATATGAAAAAAGTTGATATCCTACAAACCATGTACTATACTGGTATGGTCCACTACATTATGAGAAAAGTTAATATAACAAAGAAAGAAGTACATAAGTCAATGTGATCGCAGTTTCCCGTATCCAATGGTAACGTTTATGGACTTAAGGCCCGCACACATTTACGATTAACTTGCCAACGGATTATTGAGAGATGAATTAAGATATATTAAAGGCGATATATGTATTAAAGAAGGGCCAAATTAAAAGTACCCTTAACCGACGAGCATGCATGAAAAGAAGACTGTTAATGAAGCGAAAGAGGTATGTAGGAATCATAGTAATTAGCGTTCCATCTCTGCCTAACCCCATGGGAGATAGGCATAAAGTTATGTATGTATTAAGATTTAAAATAATAGTCGGTTGTTATGTATCTATAGTCGTCAATCTTTTTGTGTATGTTTCTCGGTTAAGGGTACTTTTAATTTGTCCTTTCTTTAATCATCATTTTTATAGATATATGTTAGATGGGACTGACGTTTGACCACTGTCTCGCCTAGTGGTAAGCGATAATGTGGCCTACGATAAATGTATTGAATTCTGCCGTCACATCAACAGCTTATAAGTGGCCACTTCTGACCAAAGGTCTCTTTTCACACCAATAAAGTTATTATTTATTTATTTATTTATTTTTATTTAAAATGCTTCATGCACAAAATGTACAAAAAGGTGTACTTAATTCCGCAGGCATTTTCTACCAGTCTGACCTTTGGGTGATGCAGAGAAGAGTAAATGGTAGGTGCAAGAGGCAAGCAGTGATTTTATTTAACAATGAAAGATAAACTAATATATTTCGGAGATATACATACATAAATAAATTTAATTATAATGTATACCTACACATGAGTACAATATGCCTACATACATACATATATACATAATATATAAATATATACTTGCTTACTAGTACACAGTGGATAGTTAGCGCGATGATTCAGCCAACCTCTTTAGGAAAAGCTCACGTACTTTCTGCTTAAAAGTTAGTCGAGTTGAGACCATCCTGACATCCAGGGGGAGCGCATTCCACAGAAAAATTGCCTGTACGAAAAAGGATGAATGTAAGAAGTCAGTGCGATGAGTGGGACATTGGAGAAGACGGTTGTGAGAAGAACGAAGATTTTTACTGTGGTTTGCGCATAAGTATTGAAAGTAAGGGGATAGATAACTGGGTGAAGAAGGTGAAGAAAGAAAGGAGAATAGAGTGGTTAGCGCCCTTTGCTCCCTGCGCTGGCGTATGGGCAGCCACTTTAGTTGCAACCGATGTGCAGAAACATGATCGTATTTACGCAGGTTGAAAACGAATCGGATGCAGTTATTTAGAAGTCGGTCGAGCTTATTGAGGAGATCTGCATTCAGGTCGTAGTAGCAGACATCAGCATAATCGATGATAGGGAAAACCAAGGCTTGCACCAACATGGCCTTCGTAGCGGGAGGAAGCAAATTTTTTACGCGATACAGAGCACGCAATGATCCAGTAACCCCCCTGCATACATTTGTGATTTGAGCATGCCACTTTAAATTGCAGTCAATATGCAAACCCAGATTTTTGACGTCAGTACCAAACGGGATTACTGCACCATCAAAGAGCACGGCTGGTAATGATGCTCGGTCTATTCCACCCAGCGTACGGGAGCTACCTATTATAATAGCCTGGCATTTGCCGGGATTAACTGATATACCGAATCTCTCGGACCAGTTCTTGATGGATACCAGGTCACCGTTCATCTCCGAGATCGCATCAGAGAGTCTGTCAACACTGGCCTGACAGTACAGTTGCAAATCGTCAGCGTATAGATGGTACGCACACTGAAGTTCAGAAGTAATGAGATTAATGAATATAGAGAATAAAAGAGGTGATAGAATGCCGCCTTGAGGAACACCAGCCGTTAATTCGCGCCAACCCGATGAAGTATCATCAAGCTTGACAGACTGCTGGCGGGCCCGAAGATAAGATGAAAACCAGTTCAATGATTTGTCAGAGATCGTTAGATGGGAAAGGATGGCTAAAAGGATGTCGTGACTGACCATATTGAAGGCGTTCGAGAAGTCAACTAAAACCAAAACTGTGGCTCTAGTGCTTTCGAGACCAGTTCTAATATCGCCAGTCACCTTAAGGAGAGCGGAAACCGTGCTGTGGCCCGGCCTGAAACCAGATTGAAGGGGACTTATGAGCGAATTTTTGTAAATAAAGTCAGCCAGTTGTTTGTGGACACAGGCCTCAAGCACTTTGGAAAGGAAAGGAAGTATGGAGATGGGACGGAAATGAGTGGGAAGAGAGGGATTAGAGATTTTAGGAAGAGGTCGAACAAAGGCACTGCGGTTATTAATTACCACGCTTGCTCAAACTTATAAGTATAAGTTAGCCCAGGTTTCCTTACGATGTTTTCCTTCACCGTTTGTCAGTGGTGTCTAAATAATCTTAGAAAGAATATACAATAACTCGGAAAAAGCCACATTGATGACGATGATCATATCAAATGACAACACGAAAGTTTAATAATTTATACAAACTTAGCAACATAGAAGCATTGTAACTTCCCGTGAGACATACTAAGTAAATGATTATGTTTTCGGCTTACTCACGTAATAATTTGACGAGGGATTCGAATAGTTTCAAGCCATGCTAGAGGCTCATATTCATGAGCTGCGCGACAGTCGCCGCGTCGCGGGTCGCGAAATGCTTACGTGAGTAAGTCGAAAATATAATAATTTGACATAGAAGCATTAAGTATATTTCTAACTAGTAAAAGTTTTACACATCGTCTGTTAGTTTGTTCTCACCCTTACTAA